CGGGGTCGGTCGGGAGCGGCGGCGAGCGACCTGTCCCCGCAGGGCACCCGCTGGCGGAGATCCGCGAGCGCGCGCTGAGGACCCTGCTGTGCAAGGAGGAGCTGCGCCTGGTCGGCGGCGCCGAGCTGGCCCAGGACCGCCTGCTGCTGGCGCTCCTGCTGCGCTGGTTCAGCTTCCCGGCGGCGCCCCTGCGAGCGGAGGCGCTGGGCCTGCTGAGCCGGCTGGTGAAGGTACGCGGGTCGGGCCCGGGCCTCGCTGGGGCGCCCGGGCTCAGCGAGTGCGAACAGTGCTGAGAAACCGTCGGGGGGCGTTGCATCGAAACTGCTGCGGGTGCGCGGCCCCGCCTCCCGTTCCTCTGATGTGCGGGGCGACCCCTCGTGCCGCCTGCCCTGTGCCCAGTGGTGACTCGGGCCTCCCGGGGGTTCTGGGCCCTGGGGGAGGTTCACACTCATCTTCCTGCTTTTCCTTGTGTCCTGTTTAGAATCGGACTTGGTCTGTTATGAAAAAGGGCACGTTTAAAGGTCATGTTACAGTCCACGACTCCTAAGCCACACAGGGGTTTTCGTTTTTCATATTTGTGATCCTCAGTGCGTCTTGCAAAAGAGTTGGTTGCCAGGGTCAGATGTCAAAGTGCAAGTGTCACCTTTCAGAACTGTAAATCGTTGTGCTGGCGTGGGTGATGTTCACTACTTTGAGATCCTTGGCTGGTTGGAGGTAGGAGAGAGGGGTGAATGTCAATGGACAGAAGTAAACCTTTTTTTTTTTTTTTAATATCTTTATTGATTTCAGAGAGAGTAAGGGCGAGGGAGAGAGAGAGAGGTAGAAACAGCAATGATGAGAGAGTGGTCACTGATGGGCTGCCTCCTGCACACCCTGCACTGGGGATGGAGCCCACAACCTGGGCCTGTGCCCTGACTGAGAATCCAGCCTTGATCTCCTGGATCCCACGATGATGCTCAACTGCTGAGCCACGCCGGCTGGGCAGAAGTAAACCTTTGATAAATAAAAGTAGGAATTGATAGTGTGCATTCCTGTTGTTCAGTCTCTGGGGTTTTCTCCCTTAGCTGTTATTAAATGTTTTACGTCTCTATAAATCTATGTCCTATTTATGAAGTTCTTTACTTTTGGTTATATCAGTGCAAGGTTTAGTTTTTTAAAAAGGAGCATCTGGTATCCCAAGGTGCTGAAGAGAAAGTCTAGAGATGTTGATATTTACCCTTGCTCAAGCCACCCCTCCTCTCCTTTCAGTACCCCCCAGCAGTCCAGCACTTGGTTGATCTCGGTGCTGTCGAATTCTTATCTAAACTTCGAGCTAATGTGGAGCCCGATCTGCAGGCTGAGATTGACGGCATCCTGGACGGACTTTTCACTCTTCCTTCAGAGGCCCCTGCACTGTGCTCTGCATCTTACCAGACCAATCAGATCGGTAGGTAACTCTTTGGAATCATCCTGATGCATTTGGTTAAAATATAAATATATTGGTTCTAGTGGTTAATTCTAAGGAAAGGGACCTTTGATTAAAAACAAACAAAAAAATCATCCCCACAACATATTTTTCTTGTTTTGACTTATGTGAACCTTCCCTTCCCTCTCCTTTACTGTCATTCAGACAAGGATACATTTGTATTTATTGCTTTTTTTGGTGAAGGGGCCTAAAAGATGTAGTGATTTTCTTTTGTTGAGACCAGTTTGATAGATTATTTCTTTTACAATCACCACAAATTTCCCGTGAGCACTCGTTACCATGTGCCAGACATTGTTCTCAGCATTTTGCACGTTAATTTGTGGGCTGTTCTTCACATAGGGGTATGTTGGTATATGCCCTAGTTCACCGTTTTTGTGTGGGGTCCGATCAAAGTGAGCTGTACATGGTGTAGTGGATAAAGTCAGAGTCAAAGAGACATGGATTTAAGTCCCAGTTTTGCTACTAGTTGTGTGACTTAGGCTAAGGTACTTAATCCCTGCAGCTTTAGTTTTCTCATCCCAAAACTGAGACAGCGAGAAAGAACATTTATAAAATTGTTTCAAGAATTAAACGAGACAGTGCCTGAAAAGAGCTCAGCATGAGGCCTAGCATCTATTAGGCACGGAGGTGTTGGTGCCTCTAGTTGTGTTCTTGTTATTTTATGCTCAGGAGAGTGCCTTGCATATGGAAGGCATTTGAATTGATTTGAAGAAAAGTAAAAGGCCCATGAAATCTGTGTGGTGGAGTGGTAAAAGTATAAGAAGCGTTTTTCTTGCTTAGTCTGTTGGCCACATTTTTCTCTGTATCAGTGCAGTTCTGCTGCACTGTGACTATTCCTGCCGTTAAGAGGAACAGTGGTCTATGCCATTTATTGGCTTCTTGCGTGATCCTGATTTTTAACAACGTACTTTATAGTTTCTGTCTAAGCCATAACAAATAACATAGAATCGTAAATGGTGAATTTCCAAGCTAGCTCCTTACAGGTGAGGTTGGAGGTGTGGTCTAGGGCTGATATCCAGTTGTCTGTGTTAATATTGAGAACCACTGGCAAGAAAACTTCAAACAGAATTGGAAATGTAGCCTTAGCCTTTTTCTCATTCTGACTGTCACTGCATCTGCCCTGCTGAATGTTAATCGTGATAGGATCTTGGAAGATAGTGCTTGACAACCCTTTAAAATTTTTTTTTAAAACATACCTTTATTGATTTCAGAGAGAGGAAGAAAGAGGGAGAGAGAGAGAGAAACATCAATGATGACAGTGTCATTGATAAGCTGCCCCCTGCACGGCCCCAACTGGGGATTGAACCCACAACCCGGGCATGTGCCCTGACCGGGAATCGAACTGTGATCTCCTGGATTCTAGGCTGATGCTCAACCACTGAGCCATGCTGGCGGGGCAGTGCTTGACCCCTTTGACTTGGACAACTTTTTAAAAAAGATATTAATGAAAATCGCAAGTACCAGAAACTATGTGATCGGAGTGAAAGAGGAGGTTGTGGATATTTTCATTCTAACAAATAATTATATTAAAAGTGAAAGAGAAAGGAAGAAAACCCCTCAATTTCAGGTTGGCTCAGCATTCACACTTTTTCCGCTTTAGGAAGACAGACTATTCAGGGGGAAAAACTGGATTATTTTTCTAGTTTTTAAAATGATTAAAATACTCAAAACATTAATTTTGAAAAGAGTAACTTTCACTTTTAGCAAATAATGAATCAGTAATACATACAATAATATATTTTTTTTCAGAATTGCCACAACCCCCTGAAATCTTAATGGGGTATTTTCCTCAGGACAGCAGTCATTTACAGCGGATGGAAGTGCCTGCGGCCCCCGTGGGTATGTGTCTGGAAGCAGGTCCCCCTGACCTGCTGCCTCAGAAACTGATGTATTCTTCCTCCTTGTTGTGGTCAGACTCTAATGTTGCAGCACCAAGCTGAGTGTTTCTGTTTCCTCAAGTTAGTTTAAGGTGTAGAGCCTAAGTGGGAACATCTTACGTCATCCTGCCTGCATTTGAGCAGCTGTACAGGGGGGTGGTAGTGGAGGCAGTCGTGCTCCCTGCTTGTCGGACACACATCCTTCGCCAGGGACAGTGCTGTGGGCTCTGCGTTCCTCGTCTCATTCTCCAACTCACTCAGTGTACTGTCCGACCAGCCACTCAGGCCAAAATCTCAGCACCATCTTCATTTCTTTATATTTATCCCAACACGCACTGGTTCTAGAGTTCCATTGAGAGATCTCAGCTGGGTCTTTTCATGTCTGGCTGTGTCTGGATCTGCTCCCATGCCACCTCCCTAAAGAGACCTAAGGACTCTCGCCAGTGGTCATTTTCTGTTTAGTTTTCTCTCTAATACATACGTGATCTAAAGTTATATACGTATTTCGTTCTTGTTTCCGTCACGATATGCTTAGTGATAGCTGCAGGCACTGCTCTATCCCCAGGTGCAGAACGATGCCAACTGTGTGTTAGGCACTCAGTGTATATTCTTCAGGTGAGTGAGTGGATCCTTGCAGAGTCCCAGTGAGACTGAGGTGATCATATTCTCCATTTTACTGAGGAGGACACCCGGGCTTGTCCTCGGTGCCCTGGGCAGTGGGGAATGGTTAGGTAAGCATGTGCTTCACACTTTATTGCCAGTGTGGTTGGAAAAATGTGTGTCCAAGGGTGTATCTGCTGATGTCAGGGATTCAGTTTAACCCAGTTTGGATGTTATTCAAGTTTCCTTAGAAACTCTCAGGTTGAATAACAGCATAAGAAAGAACAGAAAGCTTGTTCAGCTGTTAAAATACTTTTTCATCTATCTCCCCTTTCTGGAAAATGGTGTTTGGCTTATAGGGGCTTTGTATTGAGATGGTAGGTAGTCCTTTGTGTTTGTGGCTGAGCGGCTTAGTTGAGTGGCAGTGAGAGGCATCTGCAGGGAGGGGATTGGGGTGTGGTGCTTGAATGAAGCTGCCGAAAGCAATGAGGCATTCGAGGTGGTGATGCTTTGCAGGTGAGTTGCAGCTTGCGGATTCGTGGTCTGGCTTGTTTTGGACACATTTTTATGTGCAGTATAAGCGTATCCTTCTCTCCACCCACCACTTTTCCTGAGAAAGCAAACCCTGCTTTTATGTTAGCACTTTTGAAAGAGGCACCTGTGCTCTATAGGGGAAATTAATAATAATTACCTGAGTTTAACGACTCCATGCTCTTTTCAGAGCACTTGGTAGAAGGACTGTGTGCCACTTGGAAGGGCTTTTATAGATACTATTTCTCAATGTTGCCACCTTAACTTGTACAATAGGAGATCTGTTAAAATGTTGAGAGAGTAGACCTTTAATGATCTCACCACAGGAGAAAGTTGGTAATTACGTGAGAGGTTAACTAACTCTGTTGTGATAATCATTTTTCAGCATATGTATATCAAATTGTCATGTTGTACACCTTAAACTTATACAGTGTTAAATATCAGTTACATCTCAATAAACCTGGGGTAATAAACCTGTTAAAAAATAATTTGAACAGCGGTCGTTTAAAAATGTGTTGATTTCTCTTAATCTTCCTTGAAGTTAAAGATATGTCATCTTCAACCTTTTTGTCTTCAAGTCATCTTCAAAGAGGTTTAAACATCTAACACCATTTAGTATATTTAAACGTGACTAATTAAATATAGTATGTGATTAGATTTATCATTTTAAATTTCTGTAATTAAAGATCTCCAAATGCTAGTTCTTTTGATGTTAAATTTAAGCTCTTCTCTGTGTTCTGGTCAGCCAGTAATATAAGAGATGTAATTGAAACTGAATGCCATTCAGTAGGGGTTTGTGTTTAATGCTCTTCCTTCTGATAATAATCTGTGTGTTCTGTTGAAATCGTGAAATAATCTTTCTGTTATTTATCCCGAGAGGGTACATTTGCAGCTGGCCTTGCGGTGTGTTTTAGGTTCCTGGATATGTAACCTCATCTGGGGACTTTGTTTAAAGATGAGTCTGTCGACATTGTCTTCTTGATGGCTTAAGTTTTGCTCTTCCATTAACAGCGACTCAGAGGGCAAGGTGTTGGAAGTTTTCTACGTTTCCGTGGCTACCCCTGACCACAACTGACAGACACGTTCTCTCATCCAATGAAAGGTACGGTGCCTGATGTGCTTCAGGTAGTTTCGGTTCATTTCAGCCATTATACCTGGCAGTTATTACTATACATTTTCACCAGGAAAAAAAGATACCAAGTGGCTGTGAATGGAGTAATGGGAATATATGAATGATTTCCAGTATTTCAGAAAGCAAGCCAGGGAGTTTGCCTCTAATCAGGCTTCAGGAGGCTGAAGCCTCGTGAGCTCCTTGGTCATCTCCAGAGTCTCCAGTTGGCTATTGCTGTGCCTTTGCTTAATACAGATGGAGAAATTAAACATAAATGCAGTCCATTTAGTAGACAGTGTATATTCCAAAACTTGGGCTCCGTGATAGGTTGGGACCACTGATCTTATGTAATGGATGTTAATTGGTTGTTGAGTGTCTTAATGTCATTTCATTTTTTTTGCTGAAATTTTTGTTTCTGTGATATTACAACAAATGAGTAGCCTGTGTGTGTGTGTGTGCGTGTGTGTTTGTGTGTGTGAATCTTGAAAATAAAGACCAACTTGCTAGCGTTAGGGCCATAGACAGGGGGCTGCTATTAAATGATCTTTGATGTTCGCCCTTCTGAGGCCTTAGTAGACTCTTGGCTTGTAACAGCGTATTGAAGAGGTAGCTTATGGGAAAGGAGCAGGATGGACATGATCTGGCAGTTCTGAGTTAGTCCCTAAGGAGAGAGATGCTCCCAGTGCATACCTGTGGATGGTAGGCTGGAGCTGGGCTGAGACAGGGGGTTTGCCTTCTTGGGGTGAGGGCTGGACCACTGCTACATCCCTAGGAGGGTGAATATTGTCTGAGAAGTTGAGGGATGTCCCCACTTGATTCATCTAGAATAGGGAAGAGCAGTAAGGAGCCTCATTCCTAGAATTTAACTCTATAGTTACTGTTATTTTTTGTCTTCTTTCTTAATTTACATTACAGATGTCATTGAGTTCTGTGCCCTTTGACCTCTGAATCTAATTTTGTAGCATTGTGGTAGTCTGTGGGCTGCTGCTGTCTGGAGAAGGGTCTAGTGGGGATACAAAGTCAGCACGCAGTTGCCATAGCAGCAGATGCAGCATAGGGCTCCAGAAGAAGCCCCTGCCCGGAGTTGATTATTGTTTAGGGATGAGATCCCGGAGGGCTTCCCAGGGGAAGCGATGTCTCAGTTGAGACACAGAGGATGTGAGTCGAGTCATTCATTCACCACTTGGTTACTTAGAATCTGGGACAGGTAAACTCTTGTTAAAGATACTCATGCTCTGTTTTGTAGCTCTTTAAGAAGTAGTGACCACACTTTGATCTGGAGCACCTGTGAACTGCTGAAGGACGTTATCATGCAGGACTTTCCTGCTGAGATTTTCCTTCAGAGGCCGAAAATTGTTCAGGTGCGTTTCCTCTTTAATTGTTTTAGGTTTTTAAATAGAGAACTTCTGGCAATGAAATGAATTTTGCAATGTAGGAGTCCATAGGAAGAAAGCATGCGCTGCCATACTCAATGAACAAAGTATTTGGTTACTGAAGCCACTTACTCTCCAACTTACTTGGATGGTGTGGTTCTGAGAGGTAGTCTCATTAGACACGTGCAGTCCAGTTTGACCGCCCTGAATTTACCACTCCTGGGCCACTAAAGGGATGAATAGGATTCACAAGTTGAGTTGGGCAGCAGGAGCCCTCCTAACATTAAGAATAGCATGTCTCTTCAATAATCTGGTATGTGTGAGGCACAGTGCTGGACGCTGTGGAAATGAGTGAGCAGTAGAGGTGGGTTCTTTGCAGTCTGGCCTGTTGCTTGTACAGTAGGGGCATTGGGACCCACGTTCGTACAGGAGGGGCTCTGGGACCTGGGCTTGTACAGGAGGGGCATTAGGACCCAGGGCTGGGATTGGGGCATATCCGCAGTGTCTCTAAAGCCTCGCACCCTTGCTCTGCAGCCACAGGGCTGAAAATCACTCCAGTGAACGGCAGCTATTAATACATACTGTGGCCGCTGTCACATGACAGAAGAGGAAAAGCTATTAATTACCAAAACGTGGCAAAATGATTTAGCTATTTGAGATGCAGAAACCTTGATGAGATTTTTAAAAAGTACCGTGAAAATGCATGTCCAGAATGGGGAGTAATTGGTTCCTGTGCTCCTTTTCCGGCTCTCTTCATTCCAGAGCCTCCTCTCTCTGCTGAAGCTGGCCTGCGGAGAGGAGGGGACACCCCGCCTGGCGCTGCAGTCGGCATCCTGCTTGCAGCAGCTGTGCACGTGTTTGCGAAGCCGACTTCATTTCCATCGAGATCCAGGCTTTTTCTCTAGCAGACAAGGTATTTATGTTTATTTGTCCTCTAGTCACGGGCAGTCTTTTGCAGATTCTTCTGAGAAAGAACCCATTATACGTACTGCTAGGGGTTACTATATATAAATATAAATCATCACAGGTAAGCTCCCATTCCTCAGCGTAATCCGTCATCACCTTTGAAAACAATCTGTGAATGACAGAGCCACTCATGAGCCAACCATCTTTTTTTTTTTTAATAAGAGATATTTGTGAGCTGTTTACTTACTTGTTCATGCATAGTGTTGTTGGAAGTCCGGGACTAGGATTCTGATTCCAGCCGTTCTTTGGGTAATTTAGCAGATTATATGTTGTGTTAAATTGTTTGGATTGGAAAATACCGATTTTTACTTTATGACAACTATTTTTATGCAACTTGAGATGTTGTCAAAGTATTATATGATCATAGTGCTTGATTTTTCATGGAAAAAGCACCATCTAAGGGACAAATAGAGTACTAGGCTCCCTTGTCAAAACTGCTTACAGTTTAGGATTTCTGTGCACGTAGGCAGTGTGCATTGAAAGTCAAATACTAAATCAGATTGATTGGTGAACATGCTTCACAGTTAATCCCCCTGCAGCACCAGTAACCTCCAGTCCAGTGATTTTCAACCTTCTTAATCTCATGGCACATCACCTAATTACTAAAATTCTACGGCACCCAAAAAATACGTTATGTTTTTTGCCTATCTGACAAAAAAAAAAGATATAATTTTGATTCATTTCACATCGGATGGCTGCTGTTGTGCTGGCTGTTGTCATTTTTTTTTTTTTTTGACAATCTAAGGGAAAAGAGGTTAGTGCCCTTTACTAAATAGTCTGGTATTGCATGTTTTAAAAATTCTCGTGGCACACTGGCTGAAAACCGCTGCTGTAGTTCACTGAATTTGTCTATTCTAGGTACCTTGTACAGGTGGAATCCATACAAGTGGAACCTGGCTTGTTTCACTTAGCATAGTGTTTTCAAGGTTCATCCCTGTTGTAGCATATTCCGGAACTTCCCTTTTACGGCTGAATAATATTCCACTGTATGCATGTACCACATTTTGTTTATTCACTCCTGTGTTGATGGACACTTATGGTGTCACCTTTCATTATTGTAAATAATGCTTCAATGAACGTGGCCTATCTGTTCAAGCCCTGTCCTCAGTTCATTTGGGTATAAACCTGAGAGCGGAATTGTTGGGTCATTTGTTAATTCTATGTTTCACTTTCTTAGGAATCTCCACTTTCCCCACAGTGGCTGTGCCATTTTACATCCCAGTTGCAGTGTGTGAGGTTCCCGTTTCTCCACAGCTTGCCAACATCTGTCATTTTCTTTTTCTATATCGTAGTTGTCCTAGTAGGTGGGATATAGCACCTCATTGTGGTTTTGATTTGTGTTTCCCCTCATGACCACTGGTCAATGCTGGTCATTCTCTTGATGCTCTTCATGTGCTTACTGGCCGTTCATGTGTCATCTTCGGAGAAATTTTTATTAAAGTCCACTGTCCATTTTTAAATTAGTTTCTTTTTTTTTTAAACTATTTTTAGGAGTTTTTTATATATCTTGGATATTAAATCCTTATCAGATATTTGATTTGCAAATACTTTCTCCCATTCTGTAGGTTGTCACTTTCTTCATAATGTCTTTTGACATGTGGGACTTTTTAATTGTGATGAAGTTCAGTTTATGTTTCCTGAGTTTGTGCTTCTGGTGTTTAAGAATCCATTGCCAAATGCAAGGTCATGAAGATTTGTCCCTGTATTTCCCTCTCAGATTTATGATTTTAACTCTCATATTTAGGGGGTTGATCCATTTTGATTTAGTTTTTGCCTATGATTCGAGGTGGGTTTCTTGGAGAGTTTGTGGGGGGTGGGAGGTGGTGTGAACATGTGTGCGTGTGTGCATGCATGATCTGGTGTTCTGCCCTGGTTGTCCAGTGTTGTAAGTGAATAATGTGGGCTAGAAGCCTCTGTAGAGTCAGGTTAGATAGAAACCTAGATGTGCTAAGCAAACGCTTGCAGAAATGGTTGACCTTTATTTTTATTTTTACCCCTATAGAAGCATTCCTACTACCTTCAGTTTGTTAGAAATACTACTGTAATCAGTAATCTGCCTCTACTAACTTCCTTCTTCCTTTTTCCCCCCAGACACAGTTTCCCAGAATTCTTCCTTGTCTTACTGTCATGAAGTAAGGGTTACTCATCATTCTCAGAATGCGTCTCCAGGAAGCAGCAGCCCCAGGCCTTCTGTGGTTGGACGCACAGGCCAGCGCCCCAGGGGAGATGGCCAGGATTGGGATGCGGTGTCTTCCAGGTGACTGGGAAAGTCTGGTTAGCTTGTGTGTGGGTTTAATTTCACAGGGATATCATTATTTTTCTCTGTCTTCTCCTTTGAAACATTACCACAGGTTTTGGCCTTATGTTAGACCAATGGCTTTCATACTTTTATCACCATAACCCACAGCAAGACATAAACATTACACTGCAACTCTGACCTCAGCATATAGACATATACCCTGTGTATGTACCTGTGTGTGTGCCTGTGTGTGCCTCAGTGTGTGTACCCACTGAAGCAAAATGTTCACAAAATAGCTCTCTGGTTCCACACAGCAAACAATGCTACATAGTGAACTATATTGTATTTCATTAAAAAACGATGATTTTGACCCGCTAAGTTATTTTTACCAGCCCCAAATGGCATGTGATCTAGTTTAAAATTTAGATTTAAATGATAGATACATTTTGATAGTATCATAAACCCATTTTTATAGGTTAAATTATAATTTAATTTCAATGCACCAGTGTTCACCAAGTTCAAGGGACTGGTTGGAGAATCTAAAAAACAAAGACTGTACAATGTATGGTGTTTTACTTGTTTGTGTTAATACTGATTTTTATTTTCAAGTTTCCTTAAAGGGATTACCATGGTATTTTCTTGTTACCTCATCCTTAGGCTGAAAGCATCTTAAAAACATGAATCTCTTCTCTGGTGTCATTCTAATAAATGCATAATAAGGTGAACACTTGTCAGTTGGCCTGTGTTCTTGTGACGCTGCAGCTATGGCTGACACTGAGTCGTGTTTGTAGTACACTTGGCAGTATGCCAGGTGCCACCATGGTTTTTATCTCCTCCAGTCGTCCTCGTAACAGTCCTGTGAGAGGGTTGGTAGAGTTGTCATTACCATTTTACAGAAAAACCAGAGGTTTCCAGGGGCTACGCACCTTTCAGAGTTTGAGAAGCTTGGCTCATTTCCGTATTTTGGATGCTTGGGATAGTGAAATTGAAGAAGTGACAGAACATGTATTAAATTTTGGGAGTTCTATATGTCCAGTAACATTACTGTACCTCTGTGACTCAGCTTCACTTGCGGATGACATCAAAACCCACAATTTTAGGGTCTTTGCAAATGTAGGTTCAAGCCTTTCTGTGCACGTTTGTCCCCACCCTACCACTCTACACCCAAGATGAGAAGTTTTTATGAAGAAAGCAACAAAGATGGGATGTTCCATCTTTTGGTGTATTTTCAAAATCACTAGGTGATGTTGAATGTACTAAAGAAAGGAATCAATTTCTCAGGTTTTCCTGGCATTTTCTAGCATTCTTTAGTTGTTAACATTAGCTTACTTAGAACATTTGGTGGAAATTACAGAAAATCTAGGCAACTGTGTGAACTACTTAGTTTTGCCTTTGTGAGTTGATTTCAGAACTTTGCAATAGATCTGCTTGCTTTCCTTAGCAAGTGACCGGCTCTCGGTGCTAATGCTGACGGCTACCATGAGACTGTTGACACATTTCTAGAACATCAGTTTGAGAAGCAAAATAGAAAGGTATTTTAGTTTCTTGTACAAGTTTAAGCCATGTAGATGGAATTTAATCTCATGAATTTGTCATTTTCTACAAATCCGTACAAAACTGTTACGTGAAGCACTAGAGTTATGTCCAGTCTGAGGCTCCTGACGCACCAGGCGCAGACTTGGTCAGTCTGTGTGTGGGCCTCTCATTATACAGGGTTTGTCCTGTTTGTTTCACAGCGGGAGTAGTGGCCACGCGCATGTGAACTCCAGGATCTCCGTACACTCGCCTCTGGATGTGGCGCACATCGAGCTGTCTGAGCTGGAGGCTGAGGATGCCCTGCAGCTGCAGTTCCAGCAGCTCAGCCTCCCGCAGTTCTGCGTCTGCCTCCTGGAGTCCGCGGTGCCCCTCCTGAGGACAGGTCTGCTTTTGTGAAGTCACAGTTTTTTATATAACTTGTGGCTGTCTTGTCTGTTTCTATCTATGCTAGGACCTTTAGGATCTGCATTTATGTATGCTTTGGGGAAATTCCTAAGAACTTACTGTGGCCTTCACCATCTCTCAATTAAGCGTGGGGGCCAGGGAACACTCCACATGCAGTGTCCCTTCTGCCTGTGGTCATTTGTGCGCAGGCCTCACCCCCCAGCTGCTTTGAATGTAACCACCGGGGCCTCGCAGCTCAGTCAGGGGGTGGAATGGCACAAATAGACCAGAATTAAAAATCTCTGGCTTCTGCCCCTTAGGAACTTTTTGACTTGCTTTCAATTCATTCCTTTCACTTGTTGTTACTTAAGCTATGAAACATGTCAGAAACAAACTGCAACTGCTTTCTTTCCTTTGCAGTGATTTTTCCTAAAAAACAACCCAAACTAATAACAAAACTAAGAAAAAACCCTGAACATTGTGCATTTTCTTTCCACGGTGCTAGGTAAAGTTGCAAAGGTGTATCGCAGCATGTGCCAGGTTGCAGTTGTGATGTTAAGAATGAGGGATCGGAATGGTACCAGGGTGGCAGGCGGCGGACAGTCTGGTCATCACACCACGGCGTCCACACACTGAGTTGCCCTGTGCTTGGTCTCCTGCCTGGTTTTGGGCATTGATTCATACTATCCTCACACCAGCCCACTTCACCCTCCCACTGTGGTCACTGCTTCTGCCCCCATGTCACAGATCAAGAAAGGTTTAGAAACTTACCCAAAGTCAGCTAAGAACAGACCTGATCCAAGGTTCTTCAGTAGTTGATAAACTTGCTGAGATGTGAATGCAAGACAAACGAGTTTTGCCTTTTTCGTTTGCACTGGCTGAGTGAAAACATATTGCTTGCTGATGGCTCTTCAGGTCCCATGGCTGTTTTCTTCCTGCCCGAGGGTGATGGGAGGAAAGCGGGGGGTGGGTATTTGTTTGGAAGGCATTAAAATTTTTATTTTATCCTGAAGGAACTACACCTAACTTCTGACAGAGTGCCTCTGCTCCTGGGAGTTAGGATACGTAGGAGTTCACATGCCGATAATGTGGGGAAGGGAAACCAGAGCTTGGCGTTATAGAGCATGTATGTTTGTCTGCATGGGGTGCTGAGAAGAAGTTTCAGATGGAATGAGTTTGCATTTAACCTTTTCTTAATTTGCTGTAGAAAGTCAGATTGATAATTATAAAGCTGTATCTTGGTAAATAAAATTTCTAAATGTTCTCTTGCTCTTTTGTGGAAATTATGGCATCATTTATAATTGTTCAGTATCATTAGAGATGTCTAAAAGAACTTTCTCCATCTGTTCTAAAGAAACTGTTCATCTAGACCCTATTACCAGGTAGTTGTTTTACTTTCATTCATTAGAACTTGACCGCTGGTGTGCGGACAGGAAGGTCTGATGGAGTGTCCCCCTCACTGAGAATTGTGGAGCGAGGTGGTGTTCCTTTGTCCCTCTGTCTCTGTGGAGAAGGACCTTATGCTGGGGGTATGGCTCCCATAGCACACTTCCTTTGGGAATTTTTTTAGAGGTTAAGGTGAGCACAGGCTTGAGAGCCTGTTTCAGATGGAACTTCTCCAAGTGTCTTCAGCCACCACCAGCAAAACATTTATACTTCAGTTGCTGCAGTCTCAGCTCAGCTTCCCAGGCAGCTCCTGTGTGGGAAGTACAGTTTATGACGTGGCTTAAGCCTCCTGGTACTAAATAGGAAATTCTTAGAATGAATGTGTTTTCTAAGCTGACGTGATGCTTCGTCACATGTTACGTGTGACATGGATGGTCTCTGAATTTGAAACATAGTTCAGTCTGTCTCACAGCACTTGTAGTTACATTCCTGCTACTGTCTTCCTGAGCTTCATTCCGCTTCAAGCACATTTGTTGTTGTTTCAGAACGCAGATCTTCCCTGGTGGTTGTAGATTGTGACTTTTCTATTTATCTCTTTCAACAGTTCTAAAAAGACAAGAAATATTAAAAGAGAAACAGGAGTTTGTGGGCGTGACTCACTCAAGGCGTGAGCAGCGTTGATCTGAAAGTTAACTATTTCTTCTCTCTCTCCCGGTTGTTTCCCTAGGTAGCACACAGGTGATAATGAGAGTTCTGGAATTGCTTGCTGAGGATTTGATACTTATTGGTGAAGCAATTTCAGCAGATATCTGGGATGACAGCAGCCTCTTTGCTATAGATATGGTGAGAATCAATGCTTTCCTTGGGATAGGGTAGGAGCATTTTATTTTTATTTTATTTTATTTTATTTTCTTATTTAATTTAATTTATTTTATTTTATATTTTATTTTATATTTTATTTTATTTTATTATCTTATTTTATTTTATTTTATTTTAATTTAATTTTATTTTAAGCTGGTATCATTGTTGCATTAGTATTTGANCTTATTTAATTTAATTTATTTAATTTATTTTATTTTATATTTTATTTTATATTTTATTTTATTTTATTATCTTATTTTATTTTATTTTAATTTAATTTAATTTTATTTTAAGCTGGTATCATTGTTGCATTAGTATTTGAAAGCTTTCTTCCTTTTAGACACAATATGTCCCAGGCCTATTTTGTGCATGGTCTGGAACAGGCCACCTCTCCAGAGATTCTGGTTTCTTTTAATGGGATTTTGTTAAGACCAGAACAGGCCATTAGAACTGCTTTTAGTTACTGTGATAGCATTCTTTCCTTTTAGTAATAGAACTAGGAAATGTGCATTTTAAAAAACATCATGAGTTCAGATTGCTATTGCTGTGATTTTAGCCTCTGTGTTTTTGCTTGTACTGTTGCTCATAGAAAGTCTTAGTTTTTATAGTATCAGCATAATTTCTTATTAGCTTTATCTTCAGCATATGAAAATAATTTCATAATAGCAAAGTTACTATCACTGTGGCCCATAACTAATAACGTTCAGGATTTCCCTGCAGTTCATTTTTGCTTAGACTAACTCTCACTAAGAATATAGTCAGAATACTGTGCCTTAAAGTCATTCGAAAGAATTCTTTTCTCTGTTCCCAGCACGAAATGCATTTAGATTTGTTCCTGCTTGTTTTGTCTTCATAAAACAAACTCAGAGATGTCTCCCTGCCATTGTGTTCTCTGGTTTATTTTTTCCATTTTTATTTTAGTTTTTGCAAATGTAAGCAAGTAAGTATGTAGATTGTTATTTCCTCTCCCACATCTTACATAAAAAGTAGTATATACAGTTTTACATCTGTTTTTACAACTTAAAAATGCCTCCTGTGTGCCTGGAATAACAGGTGTGGAGAATATTCAGTTCGCACGTGGAGATCACAGCCACTCTTTTCTGTAAGCTTCAGGTGCTCTGTGGTATGTCTGTTCACTCAGTCTCCTGGTGATGGACATAACTGCTGCTGCAAATTATGTGAAATGGATACTGTGCATGTGTCATTTCATACTTGTACAAAGGTTCTCTAGGGTAGATTTTTTCAAGTGGGATTGCTGCATCAAAATGTAAATATTCTTAATTTTAGGTACTGTCACATTATCCCACGTAGCAATGCCATTTTAGTCACTCACCAGCAGTTCCTTGGAATGTGGTTGAACCTACAGGCTCAGCAGTAGGGTTTATAGTCACCTCAGATTTTTGCCATTCTGATAGTAAAGTTGAATATCTTTTTGTAATTAAAAAAAATATATCTTTATTGATTTCAGAGAGAGGAAGGGAGAGGGAGAGAGAGAGAGAAACATCAATGATGAGAGAGTCATTGACTGGCTGCCTCCTGCGTGCCCCGCCCCCCACCCACCGAGGATGGAGCCTGAAACCCGGGCAAGTGCCCTGACTGGAATTGAACCACGATCTCCTGGATTATAGGTTGATGCTCAACCACTGGGCCATGCTGGCCTGGCTCTTTTTGTAATTTTAAGAGCCATTTTCATTTCTTTTTCTGTAAACTTTCCAAACCTTGATTCATTTTTTGGGGCTCATTGATTGTTCTTTTGTTCTTTTATTGATTTCTAAGAGCTCTTTACACATTAAAGAAATTGGCTTTCTGAAACAAGTTGCAATTTTCCTCCCATTAGTTTTTTGTTTTGTTTTTTTAAACTCTCCTAATGATACTTTTGGGCATGCAAAAGCTTTTGTTCATTTATTTATTTTATTTTTATGTAGCTGGACTTACCAGTTTCTTTCCTTTAAAAAAACCAAAAACTTGGTTCTGGATTTTGGATCAAAGTTAGAAAGATTCTCTTTACACTTTGGGAAATGTGCAGTATCTTTTTCCATTTCTTCACGTCTACATTTTTGTCTTTTGGGAGTGTTTTCCTCATGTAGATTTTGCACGTTTCTTACCGTTTTTTCATGTATGTGTGTGAACATACTGATGTGAGTTTTAACGATTTTATTGAAGTATAATTGACATATAATAAGTTGCACATATTTCTTAAAGTTTGTCGGTACATTTCGGCCTATGGATACACCATGATATAGATTAGCTTGCATTTTTTAGAATTTTATATGAATGTACTTGTTGTTTGTATGCGTTTTTGGTCTCATTTTTCCTTTAGTTTGATTACTTTGAGGTATAGCTACATTGTTGCATTTATTAGTTCATTTTATTGTTGGGTGCCTGTTCTTTGCTATTTGTATTTCAGTAGGGAAGCTATTTTTGGAAAATAAGGCATTACTGTTTTTTTGAAAAAAGATTTTGATTAAGTGATATCTTGCATGAATAATGAACACATGCACTAGGGCCTCAGGGATGCTGTATTGTAACATAGTATTTAAGACGCCTGTGAACTACCAGAGTATGTCTCCATGTGATTATAAATCATATCCCTTTTACATTCCAATATATCAAAACCATTTGTTTTTTTTATCTTTTATTTTTCAGTTATCAAGTAAGCTTGCTTTTCTTGAAGAATTGGTGTTTGATTTTTTCTTATAATGTAAATTGGCAACTTAGCCCTTTCTTTTTTTCCTCGCATTGTCAGAGAAGTGGAAGCAAAATTTGTTAGTCATAAAAATATATATTGACTTTCATGGTTACCAAAGTTTTTTTCTCTTTATGTTGTTCTGATCTAGGTCTGTCTGTTTTATTAAACTTCTTTATATGCCACCTAAAGTCCTTGTGAATAGAGGTTAGGACACAAAAAACAAACAAAATCCTGAGTTTGCTTAGTACCAATACTCGTGTAAAAAACCCAGACTTATGTTTAAGAACAAAAATTTCTTGAAAAGAGAAACAAATGTAATATTTTACAGTTGGTATGTTCAGGACCTTCAATTTCTATGAAATAGAGATGATAGTTCTTAATCTTAGTTTTTCTTTCATCCTGAAGGTTACCGTACTATTCTGTAGTACTTTTAGAAGATTTTCACATACTGAAGGTTTTCAACAGTGAGTTTTTCCTTAGAAGTGTGAAAACTGTTTTATCAGTTGCTTCTTAAATTAAATTCTCTTGGCCAGAACATTCATCTGTAAAAGTTATTCGTTCACTTTTAACTTTTGGCTGCTAATCTTTTATGATTCGATGAATTATTTTTACTTTAAAGGTTAAATCTGTTTATAAGTGCCAGTTGGTATGTTATAAATGTTAAATAAAACAGTACTGTTTGAAATTATATTTGGTTTACTCTTACTTGTTTAAAAGAGTAAATGCCTCAGGAAAAATCTTAGTACTTTGGCTATATATTAATAAAAAGGAACAATGAAGTAGAATTCCGTAATGTTTCTACTTTTGCCAAGTTTAAAAAGAAAGGAGCAGCATTCTTGTTGAGTGATTAAAGGAACAGAATAATAAATGTGTTGTTACCAATTCAGAAATTAAATATCTGAGGATGTGGAATCAGATCTCTAGATCCTTCCAAATTCAGAAATTAAATACCTGAGGGTATCGAATCAGATCTCTAGATCTTTCCAAATAGTGCTAATAGCAGTCACATCTGGGACTCCATACCTCAGTTTGTGTTACGCATAGTCAAAAAGAAACCTCCCTAATTGAATATTTTTTATTTCACTTGAAGTAAATAAAGAAAAAAATATTTTTACTGAAATTGTTATATTTTGTTAAAAAATGCATTGGTGAGCAGTATAAATGTTGGGCTGGCCTGCCCTGCGCGTCCTGGATTCACTTCCCTGTGGAACCAAGTCCGTTTTCTAATTCACGTGGTCAGTTAGGTTCAGGGAGAAGGCATCCTCACCTCCTGCCATCTAACTCCGACTGTGGGGCTGGGCTCTGTTCACGTTTGCCTTCCCTGTCACTCCTGCCATGTCAGTGCCACAGAAAGCAGTCTTTTCTCTCCTCTACGACTCACTGCTTCTAAATTCCCACCTGACCTTCGGTGAGCTGGTGACTTAGATGCCCAGGCCTGTGGGAAGACTTGCTGGTCGGAGATCTTGTGGCTGAGAGGGCGGAGAGCGGGCTTCCTACCCAGTGAGGGCTCACAGGAGGATGGACAGGCTGGATTTGTAACCGGGTGGATGGGATCTCACTCCATTGGCCTTCCCTGCTGTTGCCACAGTCGGAGACAGTTATCTTAGTTCACGGGACATTTCTAATTGCTTCGTACTAGGCACCGCAGGACAGGATGAATGAGTGGCAGCCTTCGTTCCTGGGGGACGTGGGTACATATATTGTGACTCTAGCAAAACGGAGGGAAGTGTAGAGGAGTAATAGCTAAAGACAGATAGGTTAGGTATCCTGCTTTCTGTGTGACGGATACTATTTAAACACATTGTTTATGAGGCCATTTAACCCTCACGCCCTATAGGGTAGATGCCCACTTCTCGATGAGGAGACGGAGGCAGGTTCTTTCTTGAGGTCAGTTCTGTTTTAATCATGTTTTATCGCCACGGATGCCTTGAAAACACTCCCAACCTGGGATCTTAGGAACGGTTTCTTGTAAATCATGATTGAACCGAGTCTTAGAGTGTGATTGTGACTTGGCTAAGCAAATGGAGGGCGGCTCTTTTCCCTTTCAAGGGAGGAGAATGACCAGGACAAGGAGTGGGTAGTGCTGTGTGGTGGCAAAGGGTAGGGCCAATGGGCGAGTGCGAGCTACTGGAGCCTAAAACGGGAGGTAGGTGGCCCATGCGAGAGGCTGGGGCTTGCTGAGGCTCTGTCTTCCCCATGGTGCCGAGTGTGTGGCGTCATTCTGAAGGCAGGTAAGCCGCCCTGCAGTGGGGCAGAGCCTGGGGGAGGGGGTCTGCACTTGCTACCGCGATCGGCTGCAGCATGGGAGGGAGAAGGGTGTGAGGCTAGAAGCATGTGGGGGACATCCCCTGCCAGTTGCTGTTTCAGATGCTCTACGGAACCCACAGTCTTTTACCTTCTTTTGTAAAAGCTGTGAATATCCTCTGAAAACTGCCCCCCCATCAACGACTTCACAGGCGTTTAAACATTTTTTAGCCAAACGAATTAAAACTGTGGACCAGTTACTGTTTTTCAATCCTTTCTTTTCTTAAAACAGTTAAAAAAACCCCACAATTTTGTTTAGCTTAGAAGAAATGCTGGAAATAGTGGAATTCACAAGACCAATTCACATAGTACTTCCTTTTCATACTATTTTGAGAAGCACTCGGTTTGTCATTAGAATAAGCATAGTTATTTGAAACAGTTTCACAAGTAGATAAACTTCTAGTAAAAGCCCTACAATCCTGAAGTCGTAAATATGTTCACTGATTTAAATTGTAAATTGTCAAAGTTAATCTTGACAAACAGAGGTAGGTTGTAGGAATATAAAGTATTATTTTAATGGAGCAGTACTGCGGGGAAGAATCGCCAGCCAATATGGTAAGACTGCCACTGTCTTTCCCTGTTGTCTTCTCTAGACCACTAGTTATTAATATTAATATAACGGCTATTCAGTGTTTCTGTTTCAGTTTTGTAAGCATTGCCCTCCTTTTGGTTTAAATTTTTGTTTTTACTTTTATTACCTTGGGATCAGAGAATATAGCCTTAAATATATGTTGAAGTTTTCTTTGCGATGAAGTAAATGGTTAGTTAGTCTTTGTCAGTGTCCTTGGAAACTTGAGGAGTTGTATTTGCAATGTTCAAAGTTTATATCTATTTTATTAATTAGGTTCAGAAAGACCAAGTGAAGGCCTATAAAACCCATCTTCATTTCAATAACTGGTTTTGCCTGATACTGTGTGTTGTTCAGACCACAAGACCCATTCATGTTGGGTCTTGACTCTCAGTCACTCATTTTATTAACAGAAAACGACCCCCTTTACCCAATTTTTTCTCTGAATTATTAAATTATTTATATACTTTTGTTAATTTTTCACATTTAATTCTTAATATTTTGTGCACAAAATTATTTTCCATTATTTTTGACAGTTGCCATCCTAACGGGTGTGAGGTGGTTCGTCACTGTGGCTCCGATCCTGATGTAATTTTTGTAGTGCTCATACCTTTTAGTTGTATTTCCATGTATTCACCTTTGAATAAAGCAGTGTCTGGCATGCAGGAGGTTTTTTCCCGTAGTTTACAGGTTCTGTCCCATTGTTATTTTCAGATATTCTCAGTGGAAGGTAGGACTGAGAAGCTAGTCCCCTGTGTCTGCATCTGATCGATGCTGTCCCTTCATACCTGCTTATGGGGGTGTGTCCCATGTCGAGGCCGCGATTGGTCTATATTGTCATGATTTGCAAATTAATCTTCTGCATTTCTTTTTGTATTTTATGTATGCCTTTCCATTAAAAAGATGTAACCTCTTTTTAAGTGGTGTGTTATCTAGAAATAGATGATGGCAGAACATTTTCCCTTAAACAACCTTATTACTTGAAGAGAGCTCATACAGTTGGATATTTAATTGCTTTTTAATTATTTGACTTCCCGTTTCATTTCTGTAGTAATTTTGGGATCATTTGGAGGGCAAGGATCATGTCTTGTACTAATGTGTTTTTCCCATTATTCCAACCACTGTGTGTAGCATACACTAAGCCTAATAACCACTCGATCAGGCATGTACCTGCGGATGTTCAGAATTGGAACAATGAGCACAGGAAACTAGGAGACATCTATGGTTCATTAAGCTTCTGTATATCATTTATTTTTATTCACTATAGAAGTCATCAGATTAAATGCTTAAAGACTGTTAGTTTTTTAAAAATTTAGGTGTGCTTACCCTTTTATTTTCAGCAGGTACGTGCCTCTTCTTGTAGAGAGGAACGGTTTGTTTTTGTTATTTAATGATAGTATTTTAAGTTGTTCTCCATGACATTTGCCTACTGGCCCCCACATTGGCGGTGTTCCTGTTTCTGTTTAAATGTTTGTAGAAGGAGAGGCTGCTGGTGGTGCTGGGGTCCCTGGGAGAGACACTGTGCTTCCATCAGAGCCACGTGGGGGCAGAGCACGCTGAGGCCACGCGTGGGCTCCGCAGAATGGCCTTCGTCAGCCTCTCGCTGTTTGCGGCCCGGCTGCTGCAGACGCTGCTCCCGGTGGAAAAGGTGAGGTGGTGGGAAAGGTGAGGTGGGAAAGGTGAGGCGGTGGGAAAGGAGAAGCAGGCGGGTTGCTCCCTCGCGGCTCTCTGCGTTCCAGATGTGCGTCGTCAGGCCCTTCTGATCAGCCCGCAGACTGCAGCGATTGTACTGGAAATGTGCAACTGGCCGAATGGCTGACATTGTTGACAAATCATTTGATAGGGAAAAATATTAATTCTGTAAAGTTTTTTTTAAGGAACTTTAAAAAATTATGGTATGACCTATGTTTAAATAGGTACATAGTTCAGGGTATTTTTACTAAGTGAATGTATAGTGTTTAAAAAGTGACACCCCCTAGAACATGAACTAGAACATGAACTAGCATTTCAAAGGCCCCTTCCCAT